AATCTAGAACCTCCTAGAATCACATTGATCTTCCCCTTCGAACTCCTTGGTTCTTCCTCGTTGGATAACCTTGGTCTTTTGGAATCTTGATCTTTGGAGTTTTCCTTTGCTTCGTGGTATTCCTTCACAAAATCTTTTATATCGAATTTAGAAAGATCGCCACTAGCCCAAAGCTCTGCGAGGTGCTTTTTAAGAACGCTGCAATCCTTGGTTAAATGTCCGGTTACTTTATGAATATCGCAATATAGACTTTCATCACGGACCCAAGTGTTTGATCTTCCTTTCCCTTGGAATTGCTTCCCGACGGAATTGTTGAAGGGTTGCGACCCAAACTTCCTTGGTCCTTTGCTCTCTCTAGGCTCGAACTTCTTGGTAGGGACGGTGACTGCCGGCTTTTCTTGTTTATTCCGTTTGGCAAAACTTTCTTTTTCGTCTTCTACCTTCATCCAATTGTTTGCGCGGAAGAGTGCATCCTGAATTGTGTCTGGTTTATGAAGTATTAAGTCTTCTTTAAACCTTGAATCATGTCGCAATCCTTTTCGTAGGGCAGATAAAGCTGATTGCTGTGAGATTCTTGGGAGTTTTGACAGCACTCCTTTGAATTTGGTGATGAAAACTCGAAGTGACTCATTAGATCCTTGCGTTAAATTCCAAAGATCGGCATCCGAAACGCTTTTATCCATAAGGATAGAGTATTGCTTTAAGAACACGGCTGATAGTTCGTCGAAATTGCTGATCGAACCCGGCTCTAGTTGGGTGAACCACATTAGAGCTTGGCCACTTAGGTTCTCCGAAAACAGCTTGCAATAGCCTGCGTCCTCATCAGCTTCATCCAATTCGACTCTTCCAGCAGCGATCAGAAAGGCTGCAAGATAGCTTTTTGGATCCTCCAATCCGCTGTAAGGGTCCAATTTGAGTTTCCGGGAATCTTTGATCCTTAAACTTGCAATTCGCGGGATGAAAGGTGTTCGCCTAGCTTCTTCAATGACTCGATTGATGTCTGGCTCCGAACTTGTAGCCTGATGAAATTTTGATTTCATTTCTTTTAATTCCTGGCTAACCTTCCTCATGGTCTCGAACTGGTCGAGGTTCTCCTGCTCGTACTGAGCTGCAAGTTGTTCTTCATCCCCGAGCTGCGTCTCTTCTTCCGACGTCTGAGCTACATTATTAGTAGCACCGGGAGTTGTTTGTCCGCTGGTTTCATTTCGTGCAGCGGAACTTGGCGAGTTGAATATCCCTCTTCGGGTTCCCACCGGGTTTCCTGCACTTAAAGAGCGAACACGAGTTTGTATATTATTGACGTTTTGACTAAGAGATACCTGGGATGTTTGCAACGTATCGACGGCCTTCTCCACATCCGAGAACTTTTGTGATATGTCCGACATGGTTTGCTGCATAGCTTTGAGGGTTTCGGCCAATGATGTCTCAACGGCGTCTCCTCCGGACATTGTCGCTTATCTCGGAAATGTAGAAAAGAAGAAATCTGACCACTCAAGAATCCTAAAATCCCCACAGACGGCGCCAAAATGTGGATGTTGGATTCACACACTCAAGTATTTTATTAAGTGGGAAAGATTATTCTTGAGAGACAAAAATGAATGTATAAAAACTTGAGAATTGCTACGAAAATTGTTATCTATTTCTCTCTTGAGAGGAAGTCCCCCTTTTACATGGCCATTGGCCTTTATATTTATACATAGAGAATTGTCATTAAAATGAATAATTAAGTACAATTATTCCCTCTTAAATGTGTCCGTTTTGATTCTTCGATTTTAATGCTCAACGTTTGAATTTGAGTTGACTCTGATCTTCGCGGGCCTCGCCTTTCTGGCCCAAATATCCTTGAACCATCTTACCCATGCCTTCTTCATCGAACTCATGTCGCAATGTAATCACTTCGGATGGTCGAAGTGGTGACAACCACTTCGACCGTCCCTTCGACTCCTGGGTCCGATGGGCTTCATTCTTTATGGGCCTATTATCTTGACTACGTGGCAATCTTTGGTTGGTCTCGTACTTCTGGTGCGGGATCCGACACCAACATGAATAAATTAATGAATACCTCAGGGTGTTGAGAGCGTACAGTAGATTTGTATATTAATATGCATGTGACAGTTTTGTGACATAATTTTGTAAACCAATAATTGACATATGCATATGAAATCTACAATACTTCACGTGCCCATGGAAAAAAACCACCAACACTATATACGTAATGCCCTCAAAACAAACTTAAAGCTACACATACATTAGAAATTTAAATAACTTTAACAAAAAAAAAATTATAAATTAAAGACCAAAACATATAAACTAGTTGTTTGTATTACTGTTGTCTGTTGTATAGAGTTGGATCACTGTCCAGATTTAAACCTTTTTTCTGCTAAGCATCCAGATTTTAAAACTATATTAGATGCTAACATCTTGATGGAATATAATATAGACTCTATATAAAGACCAAAAATGAAAAAAAAAAATAAAGACCAAAAATGGAAAAGTTCGAATAAAAATGCATGATACCTTAGAAGTTTTTTTTTTTTTTTTTTTTAGGAATTTATTCTTGGTCAGTGAACTTTAATGGATTTAAAATTTTCAACGAATCGAAGTCATACATTATTATTTCATCATTATATTGAATTTAAATTTCTAATCAAATCACGTGTTGTTATGATATGGATAAACTATGACACAAAAACCTGAGAAAAAAATACAGTTATCAATTTTGTTAAGAATCAATAAGGATTCACAAGACTGGGGAAAAAATCAATAGATTCTATGGAGTACAACAAACATCAAAATTTTGCTAAATTTTACTTTTAATAAACGGTGTTGATTCCAGTTGTCATGATGCTAATGTTACATTCAACAATTTCACAATGAAAAAAACGAGTACTAAATATTGTCAATCAAACATATGAATGTACAAAAATCCATAAACTCTACCAAAATAGAATGAAGATTCAGAAAGCAAACCTACTTTTTCTTTTTTAATTAAAAATTCAACTATATTATAAAATTTATTTGTCTCAAATAATAGAGAAGTGAGAATTTTTAGAAACAACGCAAATTTCTTTTTTTTAATTTCTATAGTTTCTTTTTTTACCGAACCTTAATTAAAAAAAAATACACATACATCACTTCTAAAAATATTTATTACTATCTTTTAAGAATATAATCTTTCTGAGTACCTTTCTCTATTTATCTCTGTATTTAATAATAAAATGTTAAGTTTAAAATAGAAAAAACTTATATCAAACAAAATTATTACCAAACGAATTGTATTGGCTACTGGAATGAATCAATGACCTGTAAATTTCTACAGGTTTTTATAGTAGTTAGAAACTTCGGATTTTCATAGCGCAACCAATAAACACATGGACTTAAGACACAAAAAAAGTTGGGTGCAATGTCATCAATCAAGCTAAAAAAAAAAATGATTAAAAGCATGAAATTCCGAAACCGCAACAAAATGATTCTGTGTTTAGACAATTGCAGTAAGGCCTCTTAACTAATCTTAAATAAAGTCTTAGTTCCAACCACATTAACACTTCTTAGCTCCATCAATTTTGTTTTCTTAATTACGTTTCTACACAATAAGTACACGTACTTACACTTACAATTCTACAGTGTAAGTGATAAAACTACGTGGTTTTTGACGTCATCGTTACCTTTCTATCGTCTCACCTTTATATAGTGACTCTAACAGAACGTAACAACCAAAGGTTAAAAAAAATAAAAACAACACTCCTTAATTAGGCTCATTCGTTTTGCACTAACCATACTACAAATCATCTCGAACGATCGAGCAAAGATTTGAAAAATAAATAAATGTATAACTCTAGAGATTTTCATTAGCTAAGAAAAGTGAAATCGATTGTTAATCCTATTTCAGATGGGACAGGAACACTCATTACCCAACTCTATCATCTCGCGAACACCAAACTATTAACTATCTACCGTTTGTGGCATTATTTTCCCACTTTCTTTCGAAGACAATTTCCCATATTTAACATATATACATTATTATAAATATATTTATATAACACTTCGTCACATCCCAGAGAAAAAAAAACAATCTTTGTCACATCAACTAGTTTTTTAGTAACGATCAACTTTTTTCGTTTAAAATAACAAAAAGCCTTTTGTAGTGAAATGTGTATTTATCGATGAAAAAAGAGCCACATATTCCGGAGGGAAACTTTTTAACACACCCTATTTCGACTCTATTTTTGAAATACAGTGTGGGCATATAAATAGAGACCTCATTTATATAAATATCAAGAAAATAGAAGAGAAAAAGAGAGAAGAAGACAATGTACTACTATTAAGATGTGTGGGTTGTTAATTTGTTTAAAGGGAGCTTTTCTATAGAGATTTTTAAGGTCAAGGGTCATCGTTACGATGTGGGCTTGCTTCCTACAATCTAGTTGCCTTACGGGGCCTACTCTTTTTCCTTCTGATAAGTGATAACTACATCACCTTTTTTTTTCTCCGACAACTATACACTTTTTATGTTTTCCTTTTTTGTTTGTCTTCACAATAATTCTTTACTCGTTGTGAGTTTGTAACTGTAAAAATACACAAATAAGGGATATTTCTATGAAAAAAAATAATTAATAGACCAAGATAGATTTTTAATAAGCTTTAAGTTATCTTCATGGATTTTTAGTAGTTTTTAAAAATAATGAATAAATAGATAAACCTAAAATTTGAAAGACATTTTTTTTTTCGTCAGCAACATACATTATACATATTTGAATCCAAATGATAATATATAGATGACATTAGCACAAATAATTACGATGCATGCTCTCGTCACATTTGATGATTTTAAGTTCTTGTAACAGATAAGTGTAACTATATCACTATAGTGAGGGTCACGTTTTAATTTTTAAAATAATTTATGACAAGAAAATAGTAAAACTATTTAATACTAGACGCCAAAAAATGTTGAAACTAATAATTGTGAAAAAGGAACAAAAGAATAATAATCATTCATAATTGACAAGTGAAATTAATATTGTTCAGCGGAGGGTTATATATTAATTTTCAAACTAACTAATGAAAACAAATGGAAAAGCTTATGATAAGAGTTGAAATTTAATAATTAAGAAAAACAAAAAAAGGTGTACAAAGAGACACATGCTTTTTCCTCATGCATCTTGTTTTTATACAACAATATATATATTGACTCATTCTCCGCTAGCTCTCTCATCCCCATCTTTCAGTTTGCTAGTTACAATTAGATTAACCTCACATATGCTCTATTCTTACTTGATTCTTGAGTTACTCTGAAATCTCTTTGATGATGTCGAAATCTATGAGCATATCAGTGAACGGACAATCTCAAGTGCCTCCTGGGTTTAGGTTTCATCCAACCGAGGAAGAGCTGTTGCAGTATTATCTCCGGAAGAAAGTTAATAGCATCGAGATTGATCTTGATGTCATCCGCGACGTTGATCTCAACAAGCTCGAGCCTTGGGATATTCAAGGTTTATTTCCATAAAGAAAATTTTTATGGGTTAATTTTCTCTATTTTCACACTCTCCTAATCTAATCCAATTTTCTGAATTTAATAGTATTTTCTTTATATATAAAGTAGTCTATACTACTTTCGATACATGACGTTCTTATGTATCCTTTTACGAGAATATGACTAGAGTACAGAGAATCTACACTTAGTTGTTGCTGTTGTTTGTTCACATTAGGAGTTAGTTACTGCAAATACCAAGATAGGTTTGGTTAAAGAATTATAAAGTTTAATTATGTTAAGTTTTTCAGATTATTCTTTTGTCGCTATGCAGAGATGTGTAAAATAGGAACAACGCCACAAAACGACTGGTATTTCTTTAGCCACAAGGACAAAAAATATCCGACGGGAACGAGAACTAACAGAGCCACTGCGGCCGGATTTTGGAAAGCAACTGGCCGCGACAAGATCATATATAGCAATGGCCGTAGGATTGGGATGAGAAAGACTCTTGTTTTCTACAAAGGCCGAGCTCCTCACGGCCAAAAATCTGATTGGATCATGCATGAATATAGACTCGATGACAACATTATCTCCCCTGAGGATGTCACCGTTCATGAGGTATGCATTGATTTCATCATAACCTTTAAATACGAGTTATATATATATATATATACTAGTTTTTTGAATATGGTGAGACTGTTATGTCTCATTTTACATCATGATCTCGATTTTGTTTTGATTATGATTCATTGACCATTATAAAAGTTGTTACTGATAACATGTACAAATAGAAAAATATTATGTCATAGATATATTTAAAAATATATATTTTTGCAAAGTATGATCGTGATTTTCATTAAATATACAGAAATACGTTTTTTTTTTCATTAAAATTTGAAAAACTAAAGAATATTTATCTAATGATAATGGTTATAGTTACTTCTTCCCATGGGAGATGTGCTTTTAGTCAAGTGGTTAAGTCCATTTGATTCCGTCTTCCCCACCGGAGTTCGACTCCAGTAAGTCGCGTTACCCCGCGTAGTAAGGATTGACTATGGATCGGGTTTTGTCGATCCAAAGATGTCAAAAAAAAAAAGTTACTTCTTCCCATAAATATTTATTTCCTCCTTTGTCATATATATATGAACGCACATGAAACTGAAATAAGAATTTTCTTTTTATTTTTGGTTTTAACTTGGTGCTTAAAAAAGTTCCACTAATTAATTCCATAAGAGTTTGAAAAATCTATATATCTCCTATTTTTTTTAAGAAAAAGGAGAATCAAAAACGAAGATGAGAACCATAACTTATGGGTGTTATTGGATTTGGGTTTTTAATGGACTTTGAAATCTAGTGTTATTCAATTATGTATTTGCAAAAATACGTTAAAAATTTGTTGTTATTGGATTAGTATTTGTTTGATGCATTCTAAAATGAATTAAAAACAACTGTTATTCAATATTCATTTGATTTGTTTTATTTTGGATTTGAATGTACTTTTACTCATAAAACATGAACAAAAACAATTCAAACATTTAATCAAGTATTTCAAAATTCCACGTGAACTCCACATACAAACATTGGACTTTAAAATCCAATTCACATATTATCTGTCAATTCAAGTCCATAAAAACCTCAATCCAATAACAGCTCCTTAATCGAATTGCCAGTGAAGTGAGGACCTAAGGGATTAACCAGACTGTACATGTCCAAAACATGAATTTTGCTGATATATCTTATTTGATTTTTGAATATTTAAGGTGGTGAATATTATAGGGGAAGCATCACAAGACGAAGGATGGGTGGTGTGTCGTATTTTCAAGAAGAAGAATCTTCACAAAACCCTAAATAGTCCAGTCGGAGGAGCTTCCCTGAGCGGCGGCGGAGACATGGGGACGTCGTCTCAGATCTTCAACGAGGATACTCTCGAGCAATTTCTTGAACTTATGGGGCGATCTTGTAAAGAAGAGCTAAATCTTGACTCTTTCATGAAACTCCCAAACCTCGAAAGCCCTAACAGTCAAACAATCAACAACTGCCACGTAAGCTCTCCCGATACTAATCATAATATCCACGTCAGCAACGTGGTCGACTCTAGCTTCGTTACTAGTTGGGCGGCTTTAGACCGCCTCGTGGCCTCGCAGCTTAACGGACCAACATCATATTCAATCGCAGCCGTCGATGAAAGCCACGTGGATCAAGATCATCTCGCCTTGCCTAGCCTGAACCGGTCCGCTTCGTACCACGCCGGTTTAACTCAGGAATATACACTGGAGATGGAGCTCTGGAATACGACGACGTCGTCTCTACCGTCATCGCCTGGCCCATTTTGTCACGTGTCGAATGGTAGTGGATAACGGAAATGGAGGGAAAGAGAGATAGACACACACTTAAGACATTTCACATTTGTGTAAAAAGATATAATCATACCATATAGTTGTTGAAACATAAAAAAAGAAAGTCAGATTTGTGATAATTACAGTGGTTATGTGAAATATTGTAAAATAGATTAATATAAGAATTTAAAAGAGGAGAATAAAGATCTCAAAAAGGAGATATTTCGTTATTGTTGGGGAGAGCATTATATTTCATTACTCAAAATGTCTTCCATTTAATTTCATAGTTTTCCTTCTAGAAGTAAAAAAAATATTACGAGAAACTATAATTAAGCCCATGATCGTGAAAATAAAGGTTTAAGAAAAAAAAAGTTTTTCCAAGAACTAAATTTTGGAAAGTAATTTATTTTATTTTTTTTGGTTTGGAAAGTAATATTTTACGGCCAAAAGCGATAGATAATTAGATACTATAAGACATCGTGTCTTTTCTAGCCATATATATATATAATAAATTTATCTTCACAGATACATAGTTTATATAAATCTGTGTTTTTAGTAGGCACACCAAATAATGAACTATCTTATCTTAAGTACTATCAGTCGATTGTATGTTTGAGGTTAATAGATTATGATTGAGTATCTTTAATAGCAGTAGATATAATAATAGTATACGCTTTCTTGTTCTTATTCAAGGAGGAAAAAAAACGACGTTATAGTACACTTATTTACAAACAAAAAAAAATCGAAATCAATCATAATCTATTAATCTCAAACACAGTATCGAGTGATATAGTACATAAAGATAACATATCTTAGCTAATATTCTCTTATTGACTATAATTATGTACCGTTTAAACATTTGTATGAAAGTTATGTAGCAAATTCGGATCTTCATTTAATTCTTCTTGATCAGAATAAGCAATCCGAGTTTAATTCCTCTTTCATTATGTAAAAAATAAAAATTAAGAAGTCTTTGATTAAAACCATGTTTGTAGTTGTAGTGACCGAGAAAGCGAGAAAAATCAAAACTAAATCGATGTTTTTTTTTTTTTTTTTTAAATCGATGTTTTGTTTATTTTTCTCTTACGCTCCGTGGTCAAATATCTCGATCTCTTATAAACCATCTTTATTTTTTTTTTAAATACCATAATTTCGAATTTATTTGAAAATATCATAGAAAAAAAATATTTTTTGTAAAGAAGTTTTTGAATTACAAGTTTCTGGTAATTTTAATTTATTTTTTATGTATAAAATTGTTGTATATTTGATTTGAAAATTTAGGGCTTGACTGGTTTAATCGCAGCGGTTGCGGTTACGGTTGTGAGAGTTTGCGGAAGCGGGCGGTTGCGGTTTCAAGCGTTTTTTAGCGTTTTGACCGACTGGTTTAGCGGTTGAAAACGGGTGCGTTTGCGGGAGATTTACGACTGGTTGATCAGCGGGTACGATAGCGGTTAAACCAAAATTTACCAAAATAAATTTAATATATGATTATAAAAAATTATAAAACACTAGAAACTATAGTTATGAAAAGTATAAATTTTTTAAAAATGATTAATGATTAAAAACCATAAATAATTATTCATATAAATTTTTATATTGAAAACAAAAATAATTATTTATATTAGAAAATTATAGTTAAACAATAATTATTTTTTTAGAATTAACGTGAATATAAATCAGACATGATGATATATATTTTAATTTATTTATTTTCCTTTTTTAGTTTATTTCCTTTTTTACACCAACCGCAACCGCCCGCAACCGCAAACGCTTGCGGGAAGGAGCTTTTGAAATCCAGCGATTTCGAGCGGTTCGAAGCAGTGTGGAACGGTTTCTATGATTGGTACCAACCGCTAACAACCGCAACCGACCGCTAACAACCGCTAGGCGGGTGCTAGCGGAAGAACCAATCAAGCCCTTACTTTCTTTCTTTCTTGTTTCAACTTCCAATATATTCATAATATTTATCTACTATTTTGAAGTAGAAATTTGGGCTCATTATTGTTTTATAAAAAAGTGTTCAAAGCACTATATATCCGTCATTCGCATTGGTGTTCCAATCATCATGATAACTTCTCCTGCGATACATATTTAGTTAATATATTTACTTTGAAGAGCTTGAGTCCTAACGATCATCCGAAACAAGCACATGATAAATATTGCAAAAAAATTGTACGAGCTGTAGTCATTCAAATATGCAGATTGAGAAATATATATATATTTAAAAATTCAACCAATCATAAAAAAAACTGCATAATATAAATAATAATAAAATAATAAATTAATGTATAATATTTGCATAAAAACTTAAAAATATCTTATATTATGAAACAAAAAAATTTCTCTAAAACATTTTATATTATGTAACAGAAAGAGTAATCTTTTCGATAAATCTAGATTAAAAATTCAACTTATCCATCTGTAATTATAACTTATTCTACACGTCATTATAAGTTATACCCCGACATTTGGAGATAAACAATATGGGGATTGTCTCCCTTAGCTAATTAATGAAATTTCCCTTTTTTGTCACATAATTTCTAATGATAATTTTGAGGTATGGGTCGAGAGATCAATTATCCAAGTATGCCTTCCCGCAAAATTGACAATTCATCCTCAACGCCATAATTAATATATACACATAAACATGTCATTAACTAAAATTTGAAGGGTTACTAACTATAGTAAAAGACATTATAAGGACTGAAATTTTCAACTACGTAGTACGACTCAAAAGCCAAATCTATGTAATCTTTTACGTACGTTATCACTTTTGTATTTGGTGGAACCTTCACATTTTTTTCCTAATTTGTATACATAAGAAATTTGATCTCATGGAATCGAAAATTACCATGCACGTGTCCACGGTATTAATTATGTATATACATATAGACGTTAAATTGGTTGTTGTCTTGTTGAAATAAATAAAACGTGGTGTAGACTCTGTATAATAATTAAAAATATCAAAAGTCACTTGAAGAAAAAGTTAGGAGCTTCATATTACATACATGCATGTATATGCAAACACACTAGCATACTTCCGACTATAACACACCATCTTTTTCCGATCGCGACTACGCAAAAGCTAAAATCGCTTCATAAGAGAGAGAAAGTCCGACGAGAACGGATTTGCCGACAAAAATTAACCTAAAGTCCATCATCGTTTTCCCTCATTGTTACTTCTTTATCTAACACTAACGAGTTTCGAGGATGATTCTCTCAAGGCATATTTAGATATTTTTGTTGATGCTTCTTTAATTCACAGTCCTAATGTGATGTCTATATCGCTCAACTATTTCGCTCTTTTTACCTTTATTAAATTTCTCACCATTAATCATACACATATCTTATCTTTAACAAACCCACAAGGATTATGGAGAAAAAAAAACTAAAATCATAATTAGAAAGAGATAGCCAATTCTCAATCACCTTCTAATAACCTCAGAATGAGTTGCTTTCGCAATCAAACCTTACATCTTAATAACAATCGCAGGGTTATAAACCAAATCAAACTAATTAATTTTTGAAATATGCATTAAAAAATTAATGGTTATTGAGAAAATGCACCGAATGCAAATTTATTTCCGACATCGATCAACATAAAGATGATCAGTGGACTATTTGACAACGAGGGATAAATATATCAATTGAAAAAGATGGTCGAGATAATATGTATTGTAAGATTCTTTATAAGAAAATAATAATCAAGGAGATGATTGAGGGTGGGTGCGATGGGATAGTGCAAGCCCGTGCCAACGAGGTCTAACATCCATGTCGAAAAAATGTAAATACAGATTTTCCACGAATTACAAAAGTCGAATATTTGTGTTTCAAATGTGATTTTTTTTTCGATAATGAATGTGAAAAGAAATTAATCAATAAAAAGGTGATTGGAATCTTCGGCTTAATTTTCTCCTTTTTGAATTTAATTTCCCATCATTTTGATGTGATCAGAATTGGGTCAGTAGCTATTACGCTCTGAGCTTCGGCTTTATGGAAATCGATTCGATTAATAGTTAACATGTCTCATGTGTATTCGTTTAAGTTTTAACACATAACATAGAATTTCTACGGTTATGACATAACAAGGGTTTGACTGGTAATAAACCTATATATGTTAAATTATTTAATTTTCATATTTTCAGTGTATTACTCTATATATATATATTAAAAATCTAATAATTTCGTTATATATTTTATTTTATTTTTCTATATATAATGTTTTGTGATAAAGTATATGTTGTTACTGATTTTCAAATAGAAACTCCACTAATAAGGTGAATGACCGTTTGTTAAACGTTTTTGGTGTTTTTATAAGAAAATTTATATATTTGATATAAAAAATGTATATACAGATTTTCCACGAATTACAAAAGTCGAATATTTGTGTTTCAAATGTGATTTTTTTTTCCGATAATGAATGTAAAAAGAAAGTAATCAATAAAAAGGTGATTGGAATCTTCGGCTTAATTTTTCTCTTTTTTGAATTTAATTTCCCATCATTTGGATGTGATCGGAATTGGGTCAGTAGCTATTACGCTTTGAGCTTCCGCTTTATGGAAATCGATCTGATTAATAGTTAACATGACTCATGTGTATTCGTTTAAAACATAACATATAATTTCTACGGTTATGACATGATAAGGGTTTGACTGGTAATAAACGTATATATGTTTAATTATTTAATTTTCATATTTTCTGTGTATTACTCTATATATATATATATATTAAAAATCTAATAAGTTCATTATATATTTTATTTTATTTTTTCTATATATAATGTTTTGCGATAAAGTATATGTTGTTATTGATTTTCAAATAGAAACTCCACTAATAAGGTGAGATGACCGTTTGTTGAACGCTTTTGGTGTTTATATAAGAAAATTTATATATTTGATATTAAAAAATTTGTTTAACTATTATCACTTTAACCAGTAAAAAGTGTTTAATAATTATATTTGATTCCAACCGTTATACTAGTCGTATAGTTCATTCCTCAAACTTTTATAACTGCAACTATTTATTTCCTCAAACTTTGAACCTGCATGCATCCATTTCCAATACGTATAAGGACGATATTCCTAAGAGTACGTATCCCAAAACTCTGAAACATAGGGATTACTTACCTAATTTGGATTTGATCAAAAGATCGGGCAAACGATTGTAAAAGTCTTTTTGATTGATTCATATTTGACCATTCTACCACCAGGTCCAGTCATCTTATACCATAAAGTATGACCATAATACCTAACGATAAATGTCTAAATAACAAGTAATTTCGT